TTGTTATTTATTATAACTGTTGTTATATTTATTATAACTGTTGTTATATTTATTATAACTGTTGTTATTTATTATAACTGTTGTTATTTATTATAACTGTTGTTAGTGCAGAAAAACTTTGGACTGCAGCCGGCTGGAGTGTGCATGTGCCACTTCACTTGCAGAACATTTCACACATCCGCCCCGAAAACCTCCACTCTGAGACCTAGATCCAGAAACCTTCGGTCTTGTCTGTCCTTGTCTGTCAATCAAGTGACAAACCATAGATGGATGATAGGCTGACATCTGTTTTTTAATGTCATGCGATCTACCCATAATGCCTTTGCAATCGACCGGTAGATCGCGATCAATGTATCGGGCACCCCTGATTTAAGCACTAATACATAGTACATTGTATTTTACAATTGCACCATTATTTTATTAAGACCTTTAATGTATCAGTTAGTGGTGATCCAGCTAGTCTTAAGTATTGATGGGAGTTTGATCACTAGATGATAACTGGTGTACTTTCTTTGATTAATCTTAATCAAAGCATTGGGATAATACCTTCACAAATCAATAACCCATTAAGACATATGTCATTGCACTGTAGCTGCATGTGAAGGACACCTCATGTTTTAACGGCTTAATATAAAACCTTTTAACATCTGGAAGAACACCCAGTGTGTCCTTTAGGAAAATATTATAAAAGGCATTTACAGGGTCTGTCTCGGGTGGCTTGAACAAAAGTCTTTTCAAAACAGCTGTTATCAGTTTAGTGACAGCTCTGGAACAAGCAAATAAAAAGTTATGACTACTGTACTGACATATTATGTTTTAGGCCTTCTGTATCATTTTTCCAGTAAGCACAACATTAATAAAAATGATCAGAGACTTGAATTCTAGCCATTGGTATAAAAAGCAAAACCTTGAGCCTCACCTAAATGTACTCCTGATGTTTGGTGCAGACATCTGAGTCTGCCATTTAGCGTGCATTACGTAAAAAGTCTTGTTCTTTTTATTTATGTAAAAACATCAAACATAAAAACTGATAAAAGCAAAATACTTGAGATTTTATTAAAGTACTATTTTAAGCCTCCAATATTTCTCTCCGTGCGTCCTCACCTCTCAGACATGCCGGTCTTTACGCTGCTGGTGCGACCCAGAGCGGGCAGGGTGTCCTCCCTGTGGGTCCCGTGGCCCCCGCCTCCCCCTCCAGCGCTGCCCAGGCTCATGTCGATGGACTCGCTGCTGGTGTGCATGCTGCTGACAGAAGGGAAGCCCACGCTGCCTGTCCCAGCGTACCCCCCAAGGGTGCCCTCCCTGCTCGGGACAGAGGAGCTGCTGAAGGTGGTTCCCCACGTCAGGCTGTTAGAGGGACCAGTGGAGGAGTACACTGATCCTGGGCTGGAGGCCTGTGACAGAGCAAAGATGTTGCTGCTTTCAGACATGCTGTAAAACACATGTAACACCCAACATATGAAAATTGTCCTAAATTATTTTTATAAATAATGGCCTGCAGGGGGAGGCAGGATCTCTCTTTTGCCTGGTTTATGGCAGCCCCCGAGTTTCTAAACGTCAGTGTTCATTCAAAGTGGGCTTGATGCAGCGTTTTGTGCATCAGCTTTCTGTTTCTACGTGCAAGAGGTGGAACAAGGCAAAGAAGTGGAAACTCTGAGCTGGCAACAAACACAGTTCATAGCTGAAACAGAGTTTAGTGCTCCATGAGAGACTCTGTGCAGCAAACATCTTATCTCAGCTAAACTTTATTTATATATAACATATTCATGTATCAGGTTTAGAGTGTCTGAAGGTCATACATTGTCTGGGATCTGGTTCCTTTAGACCCAAGACTAAAAACTAACCCTAACCCTAAGATCAAAGGTCTCTCCTACAGGCACCCATCAGTAGTCTGGTTGAAAAGTTTAGGACAGGGATAATCAATGGTGGCCTGGGGGCCAAATCAAACCCACGCACGGGTGAGCTCAGTTCAGCCCACCAATGAGTTCATTTGTAAATAAAACTAGATTTTAAACCTTAAAACAAACAATCTTACTTAATGACAATAACTGCTGGATGTCTGGCCCCTGGGCTCTTGGCTTTCAGTGCCCCCCTGAGCAGTTTAGTTGAGTCTAGCGAGCTGTAAAGTTTCAGGAGAGTTATTAATGTTGCTGTTGTTATGACTCTCAGACGCCATCTTGCTGTTTTCAAGCCCAAGTTGATAAAACCTGAACAGCTTGGTTTGAGTGGATTACCATTTAAAGGAAGCCTGCAGGTCAACATGAAGGTCTATGAGTTCAAGACAAACACGACCCTGAACACCAGGCCCCAATGACTTTTAATCTGATCAAAGGACTGGAATTAACAGTGTTGAATTTTTTTCTGTATTTTTCACTATATAAGTCACGTTTTTTTTTGCATAATTTGCATGCCCTGCAACTTATATGCCGAAGTGACATATTTATGTATTTTTCCATATTTATAAACCAATATTTGGCTGAGATATGACTGTTTTCATTCATTCTGACTGATAATATTGTACACTAACATTTTCAGCAGCTATATGGCAGTCTAGAGGTATGGCATGCCGTTGTATCATGTAACATGGAAAAGTTGTCTGCCTGGAGCAAACGCCAAATCAGCTTAATTTCACCGCGCCACCCCGGCAAAATGCAGCTGAGTTGACCATTAAAATGCATTTATTAAGTAAAAGTTCAACTGAGACACACTTGCTATAATTTCGAGCAAACAAATAATTTCTTTTAAGTGTTAATCTTGTTAAAATCTTGTTAAAGTCCTCCCGTCCATGTTCCCGCGGCCGCCATTTGACAGCCAATCGATTTTTGGCACAACACCGGCCCACATTTCCAGGTTGTCAGCGGTGACGCATAATAGATGCGACGTATACTGTGAAGCAACATATTTATGGATTGTTCCACTTTATTAGACATTTTTTGAGTGATGCGACTTATAGGGCGGTGCGACGTTTACGGCGGAAAATACGGTACTCGTTCACTATCATAAGGATGATTTCATTGATTTATTTCATTGATGGTGTTTGTGTTAAAAAAGGCAAAATAGAAAATATCTGTTGTTTTATAGTAATAATTAAGTATTAATAATTATAACCTGAAGCATGCTCAATAACGCAGGTAGATAAATGTAACAAAGTTAAAAGTCAGGACCTCTGGATGGATTTTTTGTTGTTGTTGAATAGTAGTACCAGTAATAATATATGTCGTATGTAGAATGTAGTAATAAGTATAGTTTACATCGAGCATTAGTTGTAGCATTAATGAATGCACTTCCCGTCTTTGTTCAAGGGTCTATAGGATTTTAACAAAATGATTAAAGCTTTGAACTCATTCCTGCTCTTGATAAAGACACTCTTCTTTATTTATGACTCAGAACTAACAGACAGAAGCCGATGAATCATCGGAGAATGGAAGAGTTATAACCGAGCACGCCAAAACTCTGTGCTCTGACACAAAATAAAACCTGCAGTTTGTCGAAGGCGCTCAAGAACAGCTCATATGTTCGTCCCCTGAACTCGTGAGCGGCTGAACAAACTCAACACGTGCACGGTATTAGTAAGGTGAGAGCTAAATAATCCCTGTTGTTCCAACCAAAGCTTTGTAAGAAACAACCTACACAAACTCCCATTTGTTTACCAGAATCATGTTAATCTTCTCTAAGCCTAAATTTAGTCTGAACATGCTGGTTTTACAGAGAGTGAGGTGGTGGTGGTGGTGGTGGTGGTGGTGGGAGCTGATCACATTTCACCCAACTTAAATTAGAAAATGGCACTAACTCAAACGATCAGTCTCCAATTATGCAATAGTTATTTTAAGAGCACAGTATTTAAAAAATGTAATGGATTTCCTAAGTTATTTGACTGGTACACAAATCTTGTGTCTGTATTAAATCCTCCTCACCTGCTCACTGCCCAGCGTTCCCATCCCTGATCCCAGTGCTCTGCCTCCAAACAGGGGGCTGCTGGTCTCGCTGTCCCCGACGCCTCCATCCGGGGACTCCAGCACCGTAGCCACATGGTTCAAGGTGGCGTGGGGGTTGGAGATGACGGTGGAGTTCTTCAGGTTTTCAGCTGTGGTGACTGGAGCCTGTTTACTGGACTTCCCACCAAACAGCCTGGGGTTGTTCAGTGATGTGAGGGAGAAAAGAATAAACAACTTAGACTGGTGGTATACTGAAACAACCTGAATACACAGCTGCATTGGAATTTTTCAGTTGAATCTGTAATTATTTAAAGATGTAATATATATTTATTAATTATGGGAGAATGTCAAAAGAATAATGTGCAAAATTGATTTTTGTAAAAAAAACATTAATTCTTGATTATACTTTTGAAGCCATTTATAAACTGCCAAGTATGGCTGTAAATCACATAATAATACAATATGAGATGCACCAAAAATATTGTGAAAAAGCAAAACTGCTTTTATATATACAGTAGTCCCCGGCTACGTCGCAATTTGACTTTTGCGGATTCGCTCTTTAGCGTTTTTTTTTATTTTTTAAAACAATTGTCAACTTTAATATTACTCACGTGATTGGGACGGTACGGGATAAAAAGTTAACGAAAAAAACTTTGGACATGCGCTGCCATTTTGTAGTTTTCTCTCAATAAGCCTACACTGTAACACCAGTCAAAAGAACTACACAACCCAGAAGCCAACAGTGCTTCTGGCTACTGCTTTCTGCTAAAATGGAGGGAAAGTTTTGATCCGATTTGAAATAATTGGGTCCTTATTCATAGTGACTTCAGTGCTCAGTGGATGTGTAGAGGTGTACAGAACCGACCGGAACTGGACCAGAACTACTTCTAGCCTCATCGGTCGATCTGAGTTCTTTTGGACAGCCCATGAGTCCTCTCCAATGAGGGACTTTTTATCATCTGCATTCTTCTGGATTATTTGGACTCAATTGGGACAATTGTATGGTTTTGTGCTGGTTCTCCGAAGGTCTGGCTCTCTCTAAAAGTGTCTGGTGCTCAATGGCTGCAGAGCGCCAATCAGAATGGACCAGAACCGGACAAAGGCTGGTGAGTCCCTATATAAAATTTTGCAGCTATTGTGCACTACATATATGTATGTTGTTAAAATGACATAAGTTTAAAAGTTTAGAACATTTCGAGAGTGTGGGAAGGGTTTCTAAAGCCTTTATAAATAAATAAATAAATATATATATATATACATTTTGGGGATTAGGTGTGCTGCCCAGAGACACCACGAGGTGTGCAGTGACAGGGGATC